AATAAACAGTCCGGTAACTCAGAATAGTGAGCGATGGCTAAAAACTCTTGGATATGGTTCGCCAGTGATCGTGGACCCTGTTTAAGGGCTAACAAAATCCTTGCGGTGTCCATACCTGGCCAATGCTCCTCAGAAAAGCTGCTGGATCCTTGTTTGGCTGAGTATTCTGTAACGGGGCTGACGAGACGTGAGACGTGTGGATCCATCTGCAAGCTTTTATTAGAGAGACGTGGTAAACAGGCAGGGTCAAACAATGGCAAACAGGTATATGGCGGGCAAAACACAAGAATAGTCCTAGGGCTAGCGTAGGTCACCGATCGGCAGACAGAATCACAGGGGCGAGACGAGAGGGAAAAAATCAAGAAAACAGGCAAAGATCAGATACCGCAGAAACAGGCAAGGCAAAACAAGGAAAACACGGAGACTCAGAAAGGGGTACAGGCTAAACAATACTCAGCAGAGAAAGGTGGTTAGAGTGGGTGTTATATAGTGAATGAGGTAATTAGAAACAGCTGTGTGCAATGAGTGCAATCAGGGCAGTGTGCAAATTGTGCAAAGAATGATGGGAAATGTAGTCCGGGGTGCTATGCAACAGTTTGTGTAGTGCGAGAGTCAATGTAATGGAAAGTGTGACATCTGCTGGTGAATAAACAGAAGTCCATGAACCGAATTCGTGACAATCCCAAAAAAGGCCCAAATTTCGTCAAACAAGAACATTTTGCCAATATGCGGTGCCTGACGCATACAGTCTTGTATATTGTGAATAAAAAACCCAAAATGAAGAAGATTTTGTATGAAAGTATTACCTTTGTAATGTGGATGTGGAATGTAGTGTGGAACTCAATTTACCGTCCATTATTTTTTCTTAACAGCCATGAAACTGTAGTTTATATAGTTTTATTTTGTATTTATGTGACAAACACAATGCAGTTGTGTCACTTACAGTCTCATCAATGAAATGAGCCTCTCTCCAGCTCTCTGAGAAACTGCACCTGTCACATAAACATGAAAAAATACGTGATTTCAGGTTGCTTATAAATGTCTTTTGGGGGTTTTAAGATGCAGTCATTTTTTTAATGGAACAGTATGGAGAAAATTATCCTACACCGGGAAAGATTTCACCCTGATCTCTCTGACAGCCTAAGCTTCTGTAAACTGTAAGGTAAAAGCATTTGCAAGCCACGGTCAGATTGTTTGTTTAGCCAATCAGAAGGACAGTTATGAATTTTCATGAATTTGGAGGGTGCAAAATGTTCATGATTTCTCATCTGTCAACAATGGCTTACACAGCCAAACATCCTAACAGGAATACATCGGCAGAGGGAAAAAAGAGATCAAAAACTATGGCTGAGAGCTTCAAAGCGCTTGAAACAAATGCTTCCTTTGCTTCTGCTTGACAGATAAATATCCTGCTATAGAAAGAGATAGCATGTCTAATTCGGCTTCTAAGACTGGCAGAACTTCTAGAACGGCTAACGCTGCTTACAATCCCTTCAGTGATATAATAGGGTCTAAAACATATTTCTTTTATTATCTGTCACACGTATAGGGCATCACAATTAAGATGAAGTCGTGCGACATCTGTGTGGCCCGAGACTCACGGTGCCGTAACCCTGCGTGTTAAACACTCGTCTCTCACCTTCCTCTCTCTTTTTCTCCCCTATCAACCCCTCTAATGAACTGAAAGGTCATAGCACTAATAAAACTATTAGCAGAAATGAAACTCCCCAATGTGTTAATGCACTTTTAATTCCTGTTAGCAAATTTCATCCCCCAGCAGTTTGCCTCACGCTAATGAGAAATAAAATAACGTGCGCGCAAGGGGAAAGGGATTTTCAGGCGGCGTTTGCGAGGGGGACAGTCTGATAACTCTCCTGCCGGTGTGGGATGTTATTCATGGGCTGAGGCCTGGTTCCAGCCTCCTGATTCTGTCGGGTTAATTAAAGAGCACATCTCCATCTGTTCTCATTCAAACGGCCCATCTCTCTTCCTCAGACACCGACCAGTGTCTCCTCTGTTTTTATCTGCGCTCTCCTTCTCATGGTTTTTTTGCCAGCTCAATATGTGAAGGTTTGTTTGAATGCCACTTGAATGCCTTTGTGTTATTGTGAGTTGTGGTCATTTCTGCAATTCCATTCCCCATTCCATGGAAATTATAGTACTTAGATTTCTTTAGCAATATCACAATTATGTAGCCCTGCACATGACGTGGGAAAACTGTATATAATGGCCACAAATTAAGAATGGGCCACGATTTAACAACAAATTAATAATAAATAAAAAAATCAGTAAATTGCTGTAAATTGTTCTTAATTCATGGACACGATATCTTCCGCATGTCATGTACGGGGCTCTGTACAGTTAACTAATAATAAGCATAGGGGTAAATATTAAAATTGATTTGAGCAAATGTTGCCATTTTTGTAATATATATATATATATATATATATATATATATATATATGTGTGTGTGTGTGTGTGTGTGTGTGTGTCTCTCTTCCTCAGACACCGACCAGTGTCTCCTCTGTTTTTATCTGCGCTCTCCTTCTCATGGTTTTTTTGCCAGCTCAATATGTGAAGGTTTGTTTGAATGCCACTTGAATGTCTTTGTGTTATTGTGAGTTGTGCAATGGTCATTAGTGAGGTCATTTCTGCAATTCCATTCCCCATTCCATTCAGTTTTTAAACTGTAGATGGAAATTATAGTACTTAGATTTCTTTAGCAATATCACAATTATGTAGCCCTGCACATGACGTGGGAAAACTGTATATAATGGCCACAAATTAAGAATGGGCCACGATTTAACAACAAATTAATAATAAATAAAAAAATCAGTAAATTGCTGTAAATTGTTCTTAATTCATGGACACGATATCTTCCGCATGTCATGTACGGGGCTCTGTACAGTTAACTAATAATAAGCATAGGGGTAAATATTAAAATTGATTTGAGCAAATGTTGCCATTTTTGTAATATATATATATATATATATATATATATATATATATATGTGTGTGTGTGTGTGTGTGTGTGTGTGTTACAGAAAACATTTGACCTCTGTCATTGCCAACAAAGGGTATATAACAAAGTATTGAGATGAAATTTTGTTATTGACCAAATACTTATTTTCCACCATAATTTGCAAATAAATTCTTTAAAAATCCTACAATGTGATTTTCTGGATTTTTTTTCTCATTTTGTCTCTCATAGTTGAGGTATATCTATGATGAAAATTACAGGCCTCTCTCATCTTTTTAAGTGGGAGAACTTGCACAATTGGTGGCTGACTAAATACTTTTTTTCCCCACTGTATATATATATATATATATGTGTGTGTGTGTGTGTGTGTTTTCAATTTTTTTTTTCCCTTTCTATAACCAAGATGTTTTAAACAAACCATCTTTTCTTGTTTTAATATATAGGTTCTATATATCTAGTTTCTATGTCTTCTATATATCATGTTTTGATATATTAAATTTAAATTACATTATCAGGAAGTGACATCAGTTTGGGTAAGAAAACAACAGCACTAGCATTCAGTTATTAATTCAGTGGCAAGCATTGCATTGCATTGCATTGCATTTATTGATTGATTGATTTTAATTCATTAATTTTTTTACATCCAACAGTTGGCATCTTCATGCTAACAGTCACTTTACCATACTTGGAAAAAAAGGCAGAAAAAAGGAGTACTTATTATGGAACAAATATACTTAAATAAGAACATATGTGTGGACTGGATGTAATGTTTAAGGAGACTTAACTGCATCATGTTATTAACCATTAAATGAAAATAGGGTTTAAATTTATATTAAATGCAGTTAGCTAAACCTTAGAGTGCTTTATATATAATTTCGTAATTAATCACATTGTCTTTAAAATATGGATAATGTATTGCAAGTGTACTGATAAGCATTTAATGTGAACTAAAACATACTTATGTAATTTCTGTTGAAAGCTGTATGTCATTTATTTAAATATATTTGTAATGTGTAATGATGAAGTTTCAGTTTAGTACATTTGCTAAACATATATTAGCATTAAATGTCATATTAAATAACACTACAGTTTAGTTTTTAAGTGTACTTAAGCGTGTTAAGAAAGTCTCTCTATTTAAGTGCATTTTATTGGCCTTTTATTTCATTAATATTACATTATCTGCAAGTACACTTAAAATATATTTAATTAAAAAAAAATGTGTCAATAATTAAATTACTGACCATATCAATTTTTTCACAACAGGCCCAGATGGGATTTGTGAAAAAAAGAAGCTCTGTGCAGCCTTTATAAGGTGGAATTGAATTGCCACAAAAGCAAGTCTGAGCCATCAACAAAAAGCTAAACACGCAAAACATGGCACTGATCAGAGACTGCTGCAGATTTTTGTATTTAAACTAAACTTCAAACACTACAAGGCCCAAAAAAGGTCTTTCAGATATGCGTTTTAAACAGTATTAGCGTATGGCACACTCCATACTGTACTGCTCAGAAGCACTCCCTTCCAGTGGAGATAAAACCAATTAGGCAAACAGACTATGAGAAAGAAAAGACCAGCGGTAATAAAAACACAAGATCCAGAAGGAGGGGCAGACACACTCTATTACCAAACTGTGCCTTTTAATCAATAAAAAGATAAAAGATATTTTAATCAAAGGCATATTTCCTTGTTTGTGTAATGCCTTTCCAGTGCACACGTAATCTTTAAGCAAGTGAGAGTGATGCATAATGCACTCCCAGAGAGCCACTCATCCGTGGAAATTGCCAAAGCAGATAGTCAGCAGAAACATACACTCGGCAAGTGCTCGGAGCTAAAGCGCGCGCCTGCCGCTAAATTAGATTAGGACATTTATATTAAAGAAAATTGCATCCTGTAAACTCAAATAATATCCCTCCCTTTCACACACACATACAAAAGAGCGCATTACTTAAACACACACAGACACATCACCACCACTGGCTATTAGGGCAAATAGCACAGGCTATTTGTCCAACACGCTAACATCCGCTGGCTTTGATGTTAGCAGTGAAATAACATTAGCGCAGTAACTGGAGCCACACTCTCGCAGACCAATTCAACGTATTTCAGGTTAATGAGCTGGAGCCCCGGGGTGGATCGGGTTCCAGTCGAGCGGGTTAAACGGCTGTTGACATGGGCCGAGGAGATGCACCGAGCCCGGGAGACTAGCCTAGCGCCACTCACTTTCCCGCCGCTAGCTTCGTTGTGGTGAGTGTGATTGTTTGCTGGGTTTAAATGCATGCATTAGCTGAAATTCATCTCCCATCTAGTCGGTGAGGTACGACGCTCACCGTCTGAGGGACGTAGCAGGTGTTTGGGAAAAACATATCAGATTAGCAACAAACAGCCTGGCTAGGCTGATGAAACCTTGTTGAAATTGCATTGAGGTCTACCTAAAAGCAAGGCCATCATATAAAGAGGCTGCAGCCACTGGCCTGTTTAAAAGCATTGTTTCCTCTCATTGTAGGGATCATTTATATAATCATGTTTTTATCCAGTTATTTGTCCATAACATTCTTTCCATCCTGGTTTTGACTCAGTCAATCAAATTAATGGCGACAGAGATGCTCGATAGTTTGTACACACATTTTTTAGAGCAGTACTTCTCAAAATTGGAAATACCAACCCAGGCTCATTGGAAATATGTGCTTGCGGCGACGTTTCTGCGACACCGATATTACATACCTTACTCCATGTTTCGCCGCTGTTTAAAAATGAAATGTCCAGTAAGTGGTGCTAAAATGCTCATTCAATACATAAACGTGGCACGTGTTTATTACGTTGATTCATGTACATATTGTGGTGGTTCAGAATTGAAATATCCGAGGAGTGTCGCTAAAAATGTAATGCTCTATCGTTTTGGAAAATAACAAACCCCTACACCAAACCCAACACTAAACCTGCACGATAGTGTTAACGAATGCAAAAGTGATATAAAAATGCATTCGCTGATGCAACCGTGCCAGACGTAAGAATGTGGGTATTGTCGAATTCCACAAAAAAAAGCAAGAAACTCAATAGCGTCTTTATTTGGTCATGGGCAGAAGCTATGTAGTTGCTGAGGACCAGCTTAAACCAGCTCATAACCAGTTTATAACCAGCTTAAACCAGCTCAAATCAGCTGCCATGGTTTTTCAACAGGGTATGGATCAAGCTCACATTGCAATTAAATGGGTAGCACTGTATTTTACAGTCCTGTTCTGCATATATATATATATATATATATATATTATGTTCTTGATATTGTAATTACAATAACTGGGTAATAACTAGGTACTAACTCTGAACCTGCCCCTAAACCTAACCCATGTAGTTACCTTATTTTAACCAATACTTTCTTAAGTACAGGTAAGTGCACATGCTGTAAAATAAAGTGCAACCTTTAAATGAGTTTGTAACAGCTTAAAACCTGTTACAAAAAAGTGAAACAGAATACGGTTACACTTTATTTTAAGGTGTTCTTGTTACAGTGTAATTATACATTTAAGTACTGAGTAATATTAATTAACTACATGTACTTACTATATGGTTAGGGTTAGAATTATGGTTTGGTTTAGGGTTACTTGCATGTAATTATGCATAATTTATTGTTATTATAATAGCAAGTACATGTAACTTGTAACAAGGACACCTTAAAATAAAGTGTTACCCAGAATACTTAAGGAGAAATGCAGAGGGGGACTTGAGTTTATC